GTCCAGGCGCAAAACAGAACACATGTTCCCGGCGGTGGCCAGACCCCCTCAGTCAGCACTGCAGCTGAACATTGCTGGGTCTTTTTTTTTTTTTTAGAGACAGGTCAGGCTGGTCTCGAACTCCCGACTTCAGGTGATCCACCTGTCTTGGCCTCCCAAAGTGCTGGGATTACAGGCTTGAGCCACCGCGCCCGGCCTTGCTGAGCACATTTCAAAAGCCGAGTCACAGTTCGCTCAATGGTACTCCTTGGCCACTGGGCTTTGTTGAGGGAGAGTCTAAGAAACAGCCCCTGTGGCAGATCACTTGAGGCCAGAAGTTCGAGACCAGCCTGGTCAGCATGGCGAAACCCCCTCTCTACTAAAAATGCAAAAATTAGCCAGGCGTGGTGGCACATACCTGTGAGGCTGAGGCGGGAGAATCACTTGAATCTGGGAGGCAAAGGTTTGCAGTGAGCCAAGATTGCACTGCTGTACTCCAACCTGGGTGACAGAGCAAGACTCTCTCTCTCAAAAAAAAAAAAAAAATAGCCCCTGCGATGCTCATTGCTACATTTGGGGAAAGCATGTTGTCAAGGATGGTGTTCCTGTCTGTAGGGAACCGTGGAAGAAACTCTTGTCTGGTGTCAACACCCCTGTGCAGTCACTTCTGCACTAGAATTGCTTTATCACTGATAGAGCCCCTCCTGTTTCCTTCTTTGCCTTGGGATGCTCAGAGCCAAATCTGCTTTGACTAACCAGGCTAAGGCTTCACGGCAAACACTTTGTGTCTGATTTTCTCTTTGCTTCATTTTTCTCGCTATGAAGAAAAATCTTGCCGTATTAGAGGACCTTTGCAAGATACTTTAAAGGCTGTGGGACAAGGCAGGGTACAACTAAAAGTGGCACCAACTCTAACCACAGATGAGTATGGGCTCTGGCTGGAAAATCAGACAGACAAAAAAGCCAGTCAACACAAAACCAGCCAAGCCAGTCCCCAGGTGGGGATTTCCACTCTTGTGTCTTATGTGGCCTCAGTCAGTTCAGTCTGTGTCTCATCATCAGCTGTTTCAGCCAAATTCTGGGTGAGCTGCTTTCCTAGGAATGGGTATTGTGCTTTAAGAAGGGCAAGATGCACAGTGATACATTGAATTGTTTCTTTTTAAATAATGGTCCTTTTTAAGGCTATGGAATACAAAGGAATGCGTCCATGGAGAAGCATGCTGTTCTCCTTCATAAAATGGTTTCAGGGCTTTGCCATCTCTTAAATTCTCTTGTGCCAGCCAAGCGTGGTGGCTTATGCCTGTAATCCCAGCACTTTGGGATGCTGAGGTGGGTGGATCACGAGGTCAAGAGATTGAGACCATCCTTTGGCCAACATGGTAAAACCCCATCTCTACTAAAAATACAAAAATTAGCTGGGCATGGTGGTGCATGCTTGTAGTCCCAGCTGCTCCGGAGGCTGAGGCAGGAGAATTGCTTGAGCCCCAGAGGCAGAGGTTGCAGTGAGCCAAGATAGCACCACTGCATTCCAGCCTGACGACAGAGCGAGACTCTGTCTCAAAAAAAGAAAAAAAATATCTTGTGCCAAAGCTATTGATTTTAATCATTCAACATTCCCACCTTCTATGTGTTCATTGGTTTATTCATCAATACGTACTGAGCCAGGTCACTTGCTGGACATTAGGAGCTCACAGTTGGTGGGGAGACTTGCTCAGAAACAGTTATTTACAGTACAGCTTAAGCAATTTTGTAAATATGAAGCTAGCAAAATTATGTCCAAGAAATGTCTGACACTCTCTGGCTGGGAGAAGGATGCAGTCTGGGAAGACTTCTAGGAAGAGGTGATGGTAGGGCTGGGTGTTGGAAAATGAGTAGGAGCACACTGTATATATAGGGAGAGCAGAGAGGACAGACAGGAACTGTGTACATGTGAGAGCTTGGCAGGCTGGGGAACCACTTGGGGTTCAACCTGGCTTGAGGAGGGGTAGGGAGTATAAGGGTGGGGGTATTGAGAGACACAGCTGGATCCATAGGTCATGGTTAGTTCATGAAGGGCCTTATGTTTCATGGATTTTAGCATTTTCCTGTAATACAATAGGAGACAAGAATGCGTTTTTTTTTGTTTGTCTGTTTGTTTGTTTTTGAGACAGGGTCTCTGCTGCCCAGGCTGGAATGCAGTGGCTCAATCTCGGCTCACTGCAACTTCACCTTCCAGATTCAAGGGATTCTCCTGCCTCAGCCCCTTGAAGAGCTGGGACTACAGGCATGTGCCACCATGCCCAGCTAATTTTTGTATTTTTACTAGAGGCTGGGTTTCACCCTGTTGGTCAGGCTGGTCTCAAACTCTTGACCTCAAGTGATCCATCCGCCTTGGCCTCCCAAAGTGCTGGGATTACAGGCGTGAACCACCATGCCCAGCCTTGGAGTGGTTTGAACTGAGGGATAAAATCACTCACATGGTCAGGTTAGTGCTTTAGAAAAGTCACTTTAGAGACAGAGTGGAAGATGGACAGGGGAGACCAGGATGGGAGGCTGGAAGGGAGCTTGGGAGGAGGCCACAATGTCCAGGAGAGAGATGATGGTGGCCTGGACCAAGATAGGGGCAGTGGGGATAGGGAGAAACAGGCAGATCAGGAGATGCCACAGGAATGGAGATTGGAATTGGAGAATGAGTAGGGGGAATCCCGAGATGACCCTGGAGTTTCTGGCCTGAGAGATGAAGGACTGGGTTTTCTGTTCTCTGAGTCTGCAAAGGCAAAAGCAGCTGTCCTTGGTTTCATGCACTGATTTTTCCATCATACACATGTTTTGAGAAGCCATGTGTCCGGCCTGGTGCTAGGTGCTGGAGTTTGGGGTTACCAGGTGGTGACATGTGTCCTCTATCGACCCCTCATCCTACTCTACTCATCTGCCCTCTGAGCCCCCTCACCTCTCCGGAGCTGCTCCCTGCCCACCCTGGACTTCCTGCTAGTGCTCAGTCTTCCCTGACCAGCCCCATTCCAGTGTTCTGGGTGTGACCTTAGCCCTGGTTCCCCACCAAAATGAGGTTGGACTCTAGACTCCCGGCCTCCTAGGCTGAATGGGGCTTGGAGGCCATCTCACAGCCCCCTCCCAGTGTACAGCATGCTGCCAGGTAGGGCCTGCCCCTGCCCCACAGCTGAGTGCCAGGCCACCCTCCTCCCTCCTGAGGCCCCCATCTGTCCACCCCTTCTTGGGCAGGCAGTACTGCTACTGCCAGCCAAGCCTGATGACTGGGGGCAGTCAGCTTCCTTCCAACTCCTGGCCAGGACAGCCCTTCAGAAAGTGCCGTCGCGGTTCTCACCTGCAAACAGGAAAATCCACTGGAACCGTTTTAAGCAAGAAAGGAGTTTATGGAAGAATATGAGGTAGTTGGTAGGATCTCCAGGAGGGCCAGAAAGTCAGGATGGCACATGGGCATCAGGAAGGACGCCCAGGCTTCAGCAGGGGTTGGTGCCAGTATAGGCCCCACGGCGCCTATACTGACCAGAGCCCCCACCACTGCTGTCCCTGAGTGTCACATGCCACCATCGCTACCTTCACCTTCACTTCCAAATCCATGCTTTGGCTTGGAGGTGTCTGGTGACACTCCTGCATCAAAGGTGCAAAGGGGGCTGGGAGATGGGGTTTTCTAGCTTCTCCTTAGCGAAGCCACACAACACAGAAAGGTATTGAAGAGGGGCTGTCCAGGCGCAAAACAGAACACATGTTCCCGGCGGTGGCCAGACCCCCTCAGTCAGCACTGCAGCTGAACATTGCTGGGTCTTTTTTTTTTTTTTTAGAGACAGGTCAGGCTGGTCTCGAACTCCCGACTTCAGGTGATCCACCTGTCTTGGCCTCCCAAAGTGCTGGGATTACAAGCATGAGCCACCATGCCTGGCCTTTTGCTGGGTCTTTGACATCCTTCTTAGAACAGTTTACTGCACCACCTTTGTACAAGTTCCAGGGGCCCCTTCACCAGGGAGACTGACCTCTCACTCTTTTTGTACCCGACGCAGACCCATGGCACAGTGTGTGTGAGGCTGAAGCCTCACTGGGAAGGTCCCGTGTCAGCCTGACCCTGCCCTCTGCCAGCATAGCTGGCGCAGAGTAGGCCTCAATGAACACAGAAGGAAGGAAGGAAAGGAGGGAGGAAGGGAGAGGGAGGATTCCCCAGTGCCAGCATGGCAAAATCACACCTCCACATGGCTCCCACCTTGGGGCTGCTGTGTGGTCTCTCCAGGGCTCCCTCTGCTCCTGGGGGCACAGCCTGGGCTGACCACAAGTGCCAGGGCAAGGTGGAGTCTGGGCGTGCTGGTGTGGGTTTGTTCCTGGGCGCAGCACAGGAGGCTGGGACACTGCCTGCATCTCCCAGAGCCACCCTGACCCCTGTGTGCCCACACAGGCATACACGGCCGCCGAGCACGAGATGCAGCAGCAGATGAGCCTCGGGGAGCTGTGTCACCCTGTGCCCCTCTCCTTTGAGCCCATCAGGAGCTACTATAAAGGTCTCATGGAAGCCATGCAGAGTACACTACAGACGCCACTGGACATTCGCCTTAAGGAAAGTAAGTCGCCAGTGACCAACTTTGTGTCCTTACCTCCCCTAGTGCCCTTTAGCCCAGAGGTGAATGCAAAGATCATCACCCTGCATCCTGTCTCTCCCACACTGAGGCCCTTGGTTGGGTGGTCAGGGGCTCCTGGGCCTGGTGCCAACCCACCCTCACGACTTCACTTCCAACCCTTCCTGAGACGGAGACCTGCCCTTCTCCAGTCACACTGCCTGCTTCTGCCCCTCAGATCGCTCCTGGGATCCTGCCATATCTCAGCCTTGCTCTGGGCTCCCAGCTGGAATGACCAACTCTTCCTCCTCTTCCTCTGGCTGGGGCCCAAGCCCAGTACCCCCTCAAGGCAGGCTGGCACAGCTGCGCCCACCTGGGAAGCCCTTTCCTGCCAGCCCAGTCTGCTCACTCCCTCCCCTGGCCATCTCTACTCTCCCTTCCCGTACCAGGGCCTGCCCATATCCTGCTGGAGAGTGCTCATAAAGTGGATACCCCCTCCTTGTGCCTTCCTTGTAAGCACCTGAAGGGCAGGAACCAGCTTTGGGTCTACCTCTGAGCTCCCCACAGGGCATGGCACAAAACATGTCCTCAAAAATATCTATTCATTGATTCATTTATGTGCTCATTCATTCATTCATTCACCTCTGCTATCATGATTCATTCAGAACATTTATCAAGCCCCTCTTATGTGCCAGGCATAGGAGGGCACAAAACAAAACTCCTTCTCCGCTTTTGGTGCTCATAGTCCTTGTAGGGGGAGACAGACAGTGCACAACATGTCAGGTGACAAGAACTGCTATAAAGAATAATAAAGCAGGGCAAGATGGAGGACAGGAAAGTGACGAGGAGGAACCATTTTTCTTTTTTTTTTTGAGATGGAGTCTTGGTCTGTCGCCCAGACTGGAGTGCAGTGGCATGATCTCAGCTGACTGCAACCTCCGCCTCCTGGGTTCAAGCAATTCTCCTGCCTCAGTGTCCTGAGTAGCTGGGACTACAGGTGCCTGCCACCATGCCAGACTAATTTTTGTATTTTTAGTAGAGACGAGGTTTCACCATGTTGGCCAGGCTAATCTTGAACTCCTGACCTTGTGATCCGCCTGCCTCTGCATCCCAAAGTGCTGGGATTACAGGTGTGAGCCACCATGGCTGGCCGAGGACCTGTTTTGTATAAGCAGTTGGGAAGGCTTCTGAGAAGGGGACACTCAAGGTAGCCCAAAGGAAGCGTTCGTTCAGCAGCTTCTGCTGGTCTGAAGGGCCAGGGAGCACAGTGGTCATAGGCATGGCCTCTGGAGCCAGGTCTCCTGGGTTCCTACCCCAGGTCTACCCCCTAGGAACCCTGCTGAACCCTGCCATGGACGGGGCACCTCCCTTTTCCATGCCTCTGTTTCTGTATCTGTAAAGTGGAGACCATAATGTAGCCCGCTCTCCTGGGCTGCTTTGAGAATTGAATGAGCTCTTACACACTTAGTGCTAAGGCATAATAAACGCCATGTACGCCTCGGGGATTATGATTGCTGCTGCTGTTAGATCTGAGGGAGGTATGCTAGACAGGGAAAAGCAAGGGTGGAGGTCCGCGATGGGAGTGAGCTGGTCACAGAAGGAGCAGCAATGGGGACAACAGAAGTGGAAGTGGACTCGCAGGGGAGAGAGGAAAGAAATCTGAATCCCAGGATTTTGACCTGGGCAACTAACAGAAGGAAACTGTTATTTTCTGAAGTGAGAAAGCATTTAGGACTGGAGGGAATGAAGTGTTTGAACCTGTTAGATTTGAGAAGTTGGACTTCCCATGTGGTGGTATCACCCAGGCAGTAGGACCTGTGACTGTAGAGTTCTAGGGAGAGGGGCGAGGCTTTTGCCTTGATGAAAGAACAACTTCAGCCAAATTAAAGGTAAAGGAGTGTAAATGAGCAATGAATGATTTGTGACTCGGGCAGCCTTCTCAGCCTCAGTACGTTCACAGACTCCAGCGCAGCCACGTGGTGGAAGAAGATTTAGGGCCAGAAAAAGGAAAGTGGCCTACAGAAAACAGAGCTGAGGCGCAGAAGCAGCTGGGTTGGTTCCAGCTCAGCTTTTGCCTTATTTGAACACAGTTCAATCAGTTGGCTACATTTGGTTGGCCAAAACTGGGTGATTTCCATATCCAGAGTAACTATTCTAGTAAGAAAAAAAAGAATAAAAAAAAAAAAACTGGGTGATTGGCACAAGTGCGGGCTACGGTCTGTTTACACCTCCACTTGTTATAGTTGACGATGCACAGAAAAACCTTTAAGCTGAACTTCAAAGATGTAAGGAGGCAGCTGTAGGCAAAACTTGATTTAACAGCGTGCAGGTGGGCTTGATCTCTACAGGCCCCTGTGATGAGTGCTGGGAGTGCTGGGGGCGGAAGGCAGGTCTGGGGAGGCGCTGAGTGAGCTCCAGCCCCAACAGCTGGGAAGGAGGGAACCTGGGCAAGAGGGGAAGGGTGTGGGGGCTGTCCAGGCAGAGGGCACAGCAAGTGCCAAGGGCCCCGGTGCCCCTGCTGGGATGGCCTCCCCTCCTTCCTTCTTTGTGAGCACTCAGACCTTCCTGACTCAGCTCTACTTTCTTGTTTTCCGTCTTGACCCTGGAATTTGTGCATCTTCCCTGAGTCGTGGCCCATCCTTGAGTGTTGGGTCCAGTGGTTGTTCGCACCTCAGCTCCTCCTCCTGTTTAGGGCTCTCCCACACCAGCCTCGTCATCCTGGGGTTTTCCTGTCCCTGTGAATTTACATGAACCCCTTAAATCTACATGGCTCTTGGACGAGCTGCTGTGACTCTCCAGTTGTGTGGTATTTTTAGCATGTCTTACTTGTCTGCTCGCGTGAGCTCCATGCGCTCATTTCTCACAATTCCTTACAGACATGAACTGCCAGCTCTCAGACCCTTCCAGCACCAAGCCAGGTACCTTGCTGAAAACCAGCCCCTCACCAGAGCGATCTGTCTTCCTAAAATGTAAGACCCTGGGAGTGGGGAGGGGGTGGAGAGGGCGGAGACAGTGGGATGTTGGGTGGAGGAGGATCATGGAAATGGAGGTCCCTCTTTTTTTCTCATTAGAGTTTGGTTTTTTAATTATTTAAGAATTTTTAAAAAAGACTTTTATTATTAAAGACAAGTAAAACAATACATGTTCACTGTAGAAAAATTAGAAAACAAAAGAAAAATAAGTCTCATAATCTGCCCTCTTCCATGAACAATTATTATTTGTCCTTTTAGCTTTAGCACATCTAATATGCATATAATGATATATTTAATAATCTTTTTTATTTTACAAATGTGGTGTCATACTATACATACTGTTTTCTCATCTGTTTTCATTTGCTGATATATTCTGAACATTTTTATCCTCTTAAAATATTGTATATGTAGGGCCAGTCCTGGTAGCTCACACCTGTGATCCCAGCACTTTGGGAGGCCGAGGCAGGCAGACAGCTTGAGCCCAGGAGTTTGAGACCAGCCTGGGCAATATGACAAAACTCCATCCCTACAAAAAAATACAAAAATTAGTGGGCATGGTGGTATGCTTCTGTAGTTCCAGCTACTCAGGAGGCTGAGGTGGGAGGATCACTTGAGCCCTGGAGGCAGGGGTTGCAGTGAGCTGTGTTCATGCAACTATACTGTAGCCTGAGTGACAGAGTGAGACCTTGTCTCAACTGGAAAAAAAACACAACAGATAATGCATGCTTATTGTAGAAAATCAGAAATTACAAATATGTAAAAACAATGGTCCCTCCCAAGGAATACTTTTAATATTTTAATATATATTCTTTCAGATATGTGTGCATATTTTTTAAAGGGATATTATGTTTTTGTGATTTTTTTCATTAACAGTATAGCTTGAACAGTTTTTTAATTTCCCACCCTACACTGATGTGACAATTTTCTATATCAGTAAATATATAACTTTTTTTTTTGAGGCAGGGTCTCACTCTGTTGTCCAGGCTGGAATGCAGTGGCACAACTATGGCTCACTGTAGCCTCGACCTCCGGGGTTCAAGTGACCCTTCCACCTCAGCCTCCCACATAGCTAGGAACATAGATGTTTGCCACCAAGCCTGGCTAACTTTTAAAGTTTTTGTAGAGACGGAGGTCTCCCATGTTGCCCAGGCTGGTCTCGAACTCTTGGGTTCAAGTGATCCTCCCACCTCAGCCTCCCAAATTTTGGGATTACAGGCGTGAGCCACTGTGCCCAGCCAGTATTATGTGTGTGTGTGTGTGTGTGTGTGTGTGTGTGTGTGTGTGTGTCTTGCTCTGGATTGCAGTGGTGGAGTTCAGTGGTGCAGTGCTCACTGCACTCTCGACCTCTTGGTCTCAAGTGATTTTCCCACCCCAACCTCCGCATAGCTGGGACTATTGGCATGCACCACCACGCTTAGCTAATTTTTAATTTTTATTGCATTGAATGGATGTGTCATATCTAACCAATTTCATAATGTTGGATGTTTACATTTTCATTTCTATAAACAATGCTGTAATAAACATCCATTCTTGTACACATTTGTTGAATTAATGAATGAGTGAATGAACACACCATACCTCATTTTCAGATTATTTTTTAGGAGTAATTTCTGAAAGTGGAATTACTGGGTATCAATTTAAAGAAGACTTAACCTAAAGTAGGCTCAGTATCCAGTTAGCAGAGTTTATTCCAGTGCAAAGTAACCATCAGGGGACATAGGCAAACCAAAGAATGGTGGTCAGCGTTCCTGGTGTTGGGAAGGGGGCGGTGACTATCAAAATGGAGGCACTGAATAGAATTACATTTTCCATTCAAAGGCTAATCTACTGATTTAAAGGCTGGGCATGGTGGCTGATGCCTGTAATTCCAACACTTTGGGAAGCTGAGGCAGTTGGGTCACTTGACTGACGTCAGGAGTTCAAGACCAGCCTGGCCAACATGGTGAAACCCTGCCTCTACTAAAAATACAAAAATTAGCCTGGCATGGTAGCAGGCACCTGTAGTCCCAGCTACTCAGGAGGCTGATGCAGGAGAATCACTTGAACCTGGGAGGTGGAGGTTGCAGTGAACCAAGATCGTGCCATTGCACTCCAGCCTGGGTGACAGAGTGAGACTCCGTTGCAAAAAAAAAAAAAGAAATATTGATTTAAGATTTGATTGGCTACTATTGATTACACCTAAGGAGTAAACATCCTAGTGAAAATAGTTAACAATCAAAAGGGTCTCTATCTCTCCAATGTCATTTAGTATACGTTTGAATGAAGAATAGGGAATCTGGTTAATGTATAACATCTCAACACAAAAGTCAGGAAGTAATGGTCATGCACCAGAGAAGAAAAACAGCCACATTAGGTGACTCAGTTTCCAGGGCTTAACTTTTTCCACTTGGCATAATAAATTTGGAAAGTCCTGAAATTTTATTTTCTTTTTAGAGTGGACATGAATTTTTTTTTTTTTTTTTTGAGATGGAATCTGGCTCTGTCGCCCAGGCTGGAGTGCAATGGTGCGATCTCTGCTCATTGCAACCTCCACCTCCTGGGTTTGAGTGATTCTCCTGCCTCAGCCTCCCAAGTAGCTGGGATTACAGGCGCCCAGCACCACACCCAGCTAATTTTTTTGTTAGCCTTTTGATTGTTAACTATTTTCACTAGGATGTTTTTAGTAGAGACAGGGTTTCACCATGTTGGCCAGGCTGGTCTTGAACTCCTGACCTCAGGTGATACACCTGCCTTGGCCTCCCAAAGTGCTGGGATTACAGGCGTGAGCCACCGGGCCCGGCATGCATTTTTAAAGTAAACTTTAGTTGAAATATAAAACGCATAAGGAAAAGCACACAAGGCGGGGCATAGTGACTCATGCCTATAATCCTAGCACTTTGGGAGGCGAAGGCTTGCCTGAGCTCAGGAGTTCGAGACCAGCTTTGGCAACACTGTGAAAGCCTGTCTCTACTGAAATACAAAAAATTAGCAGGGTGTGGCAGCATGTGCTGTAGTCCCAGCTACGTGGGAAGCTGAAGCAGGAGAATTGCTTGAACCAGGGAGGCCAAGGTTGCAGTGAGCTGAGATTATGCCATGGCCCTCCAGCCTGGGTGACAGAGTGAGACTTTGTCTCAAAAAAAAGAAAAAGTGCACAAATCAATGATTTTTTTAAAGAAGAAATATATTTTGTAATGACCTTCAGATCAAGAAATGGAAATTTTCACTCCCGAGAAGTCTTCCTCATGTGCCCTCTTGTTTACTATCCCCAGAGGGAATCCACTCTCCAGACTTCTAGGACTGTAGGTTAGTTTTACCTGTTTTTGAACTTTTAGTAGATCATTCAGATTGTACCCTTCTGTTTTGCTTCTTTCGCTCAACATAATATGAGATTTATCCATTTTGTATACTGACATATAGAGTGTTTTTTTGTTTGAGACAGCGTCTTGCTCTGTCGCCAGGCTGGAGTGCAGTGGCCTGATCCTGGCTCACTGCAACCTCTGCCTCCCATGTTCAAGCATCCTCCTGCCTCAGCCTCCTAAGTAGCTGGGACTACAGGCGTGTGCCACCACGCCCAGCTAATTTTTGTATTTTTAGTAGAGACAAGGTTTCACCGTGTTGGCCAGGATGGTCTCGATCTCTTGAGCTCGTGATCTGCCCGCCTCGGCCTCCCAAATTGCTGGGATTACGGTGTAAGCCGCTGCTCCTGGCCTGAGTGGTTGTTGTAAATTCACTTAGCACTTCTAAGCTATCCACAGATTTTTTGGGATTTTCTGTAAATAAGCATGTCACCTGTGAATAATAATCTTTCATTTCCTCAATCCTTATTCTTGCCTTTCACTTCTTTTTCGTGCCTTGAGTTACTGCCTACTACATCTAGAACAGTGTTCAACAGAAGTGGTTATAATGAGCAGCATTTTCTCCCACGTTGGATAAATATCCAACAGAAATGCATACATATATGAATCAAAAGACCTGCACAAGAATGTTATGTGACTGAAACGCAGGTTCAATCACTCAACGCTTTGCAGAGTCCAATTAACAAAAGCGAGGTCTGGCATAAAGAAAGTGGTCTTTTTCAAAACTTAGCTTAGGGGAAGAGGTACAGGCCCCTCCTGCCCTTAAGGGTACCACCTCACTTTTGGGGCAGAAAGCAGAGGCTTTTAAATGGGGACTTTGTGTGAAGGGCATGCAGGGGAGGAGCAAGCAGATGGGGGTCTACGTGACTCATTTTGGTGCCTTATCTACCAGGTGGGTGAGCTGATGCCATTGACAACAGAACTAGGTTGTACTATGGCCATTGTGTTGAGATATTCTCCAGGTGTAAGAGTTCTGAAGCAGGCATACTTTAGCTGGTAAACTTACTGTTGTCTCTAGAGGCAATCTCCTGGTGGGAGAAAGTTCTGGTTCCTTTTAAGCAGGCAGTTAGATAAGCTTGCCCTGTAGGGGGTTATCTGGAGAAGGGAAGGTAATGGTTATAATTGCATTTCTAAAGAGCTATGTAGGGGCAGGCATGGTGGCTCACACCTGTAATCCTAGCTCTTTGGAGGGCCGAGGAGGGCGGATCACCTGAGGTCAGCAGTTTGAGACCAGCCTGGCCAACACGGTGAACCTCCTCCCCACCCCCTAGTCTACTAAAAATACAAAAAATAGCTTGGCATAGTGGTCAGCACCTGGCAATCCCAGCTACTTGGGAGGCTGAGGCAGGAGAATCGTTTGAACCTGGGAGGTGGAAGTTGCAGTGAGCCAAGATCGTGCCATTGCACTCCAGCCTGGGCAACAGGAACAAAACTCCGCCTCAAAGAAAAGAAATGCAATTGTATTGGTGGTTTCAAAAGCTTTTTAAACACACTAAATACTCCCAAAAAAAAAAAAAAAAAAAAAAATAGAGGACTAAGTTACGTGTCCAAACATCAAAATCATAGAATCTCCACTAAAATGCTCTTGTGAGTGACTATTATTTGATGTGGCAAAATGCTCCGTAGTAGATCAATCAATTTTAAAAAGCAGATTACCTAACGGCATGTATGGTGTGACACCAATCTTAAAGCTATAAAGAACGGGGGGGGGGGGAGATAGGAAGTAACACACCCTAGTGTTAACAGCGATGGGATTATTTTTAATTACATTTTTATTAGTTGGCAACAAAATTCAGACAGTATAAAGGGTGTGCAGTAGGGTGATCACTGCTTCCCCATTCCTCCAGCCCCTGCTCCAGGGACAATCGGGGTTAAAAGGGGTCTATCACTCCCTCCTTAGGCCATTTTCGCGCTTCTCCATTTTGTGCTTTGCACGTGCATGGGTGGATTCCCGGGGACCGGCCGCCGCGCTGGCCCGGCTCATCAGGCGCATCCCGTGTTCCGCCCCCTGCAGACGCGCGCACGCCCACGCTGGATCTGGACACGATGCACGCGCGCCTGCGCATGTCTGCAGACCGCCTGACCGTGCGCTGCGGCCTGCTGGGCAGCCTAGGGCCCGTGCCCGCGCTGCGGTTCGACGCGCTCTGGCAGGTGCTGGCTCGCGACGGCTTCGCCGCTGGCCGCCACTACTGGGAGGTGGACGTGCAGGAGGCTGGCGTCGGCTGGTGGGTGGGCGCGGCCTACGCCTCCCTGCGGCGCAGCGGGGCCTCGGCCGCCGCCCGCCTGGGCTGCAACCGCCAGTCCTGGTGCCTCAAGCGCTATGACCTTGAGTACTGGGCCTTCCACGACGGCCAGCGCAGCCGCCTGCGGCCCCGCGAAGACCTCGACCGGCTCGGCGTCTTCCTGGACTACGAGGCCGGCGTCCTCGCCTTCTACGACGTGACGGGTGGCATGAGCCACCTGCACACCTTCCGCGCTACCTTCCAGGAGCCGCTCTACCCGGCCCTGCGTCTCTGGGAGGGGGCCATCAGCATCCCGCGGCTGCCCTAGGGGCCAGGACCAGCGTGACAGCCTCCAGGTCTGTACCTAGATCAGCGTGGCTGGTCCCCTTACTGCCTACTTCTCAGGGCCCTCTCCCTGCCCCAGCCCTCCCCAACCGGTCACACCCACAGTGCTTTGAAGGGATCTTCTCCTAGGCTAGTTTGAAACATGCCCCAAACAAGTCCGCTGCTGCCCTCTTATCAGACCTCCGCACCCCCACCCACCATCACTTACTCTGCTTTAGTCCACCTCCTTCAAAGTGACATACCCACAGATAAGCCCTCAGCATCCGGAACACATCATCCACCACCTGGGAACTTTCTCCCTTGTACAGCACAGGAACCTGGCACATAGTAGGCACACAGTAAATATCTGTGAATGAATGAGTCATCCAGCACTGACTCTTCTGTCCCTTGAGGTCTCTTGGATCTACCGCTTCCTCCTCACCTATTTCATCTTGTCCACATCACACCTTTCTCCAGAACAACTGTGAGAGCTTCTTAGCAGTTCCTGGTCTGAACCCTCTCCCAGTCCTCATCTTCACCCTAAAACCAGGGTGCTCTTCCTAAAATTTCACTTGTCAGAACTACGAAGAGGCTTCCAGGAGTTTCCATGGAAAAACAAAAAAATTCAAGCACCTCACCTTAGCATTTAAGGCCTGTCTAGTCTGCTCAAAATTACTTATCCTCACCTAGCTCCTACCACTGTTCTTAGAGGCTCTCCAGTCAGAAATGTGTCACGTAGCTCCACCTCCACACCTCTCTACTGCCAGCATTCATGCAGGAAAAGTCTTCACCTGTCTTAGTCTTCGCCAGGCTTATCTGTGCCAGGAAGTCTCCCCAAACCACCAGAATCTCACTATCAGAGCCACCTGGTACCTGTCTTTCCAAGTAGATTGGAAGCTTTGGAAGATTAGCTTTGTCCTATACTCTCTCCACCCTGAAAAGTTCAGAAAGCCCCCTTCCCTCCCAAGCAGTGAATAACAACCAGCAGGTGCCTATTACTGAGTCACAGAACAGCTGAGCTGGGAGGGCCTCACAGGTCACCCAGCCAGTTCTCGTTGTAGATTTGGGGAGTCTGAGGTCCTAAAAGAAAGCAGAACTGCATAAAGTTACCCCGTGGTGCTGTAGGGAGGCCAGGCCTGTGCGCCATCCACCCACCCCCAGGCAAGCAACTGACCTGTCCACTGGCCCAGCCCTTAGGCCCAGCTTTCAACCTGGGAGATTTTCTCAGGAGATGCCGGAAAGGAATCAGCAGGTGACCGTTGCTAAGCAACCAAAGGGGGTGGTGTTTCCCAACTCTTGGGACAGAAAGGGGAAGAGCGCCTTAAATCCAGATGTTGCCAAGGAAACCAGAGCGCCCAGCTGTCTGGAATGAAGTGACAGAAATAGAGAACAGTAGGCCCTCACACGGAGGCCTGCTCCTCTAGCAGGGAGGGGGAGGCCTCTTCCCAGGGCCTGTGTCTCCATTCTGAAGGTTCTGCATCCTGTTTTGTCAATTCCCTAGATGGTTTTCAAGTTAACATTCTGTTAAAGCATCTTCGTAGGTGCTTGGTAGGAAGGCAAAGCCAAATCCTTGTGGTATAGTTTGAACCATATAAAACTGACAATTTTCAACAGTTTTTGAGTTTAAAATGGCACTTTGATATGGGGCAGTGTAGCAGAATAATACCAGACAGACAAAACCTCGCAAATGCCTTAACTTCTAACCAAAGACTTTAAAACTCTGGTTGAACAATCTTAAAGCACTATGCTGCTGGAATAATGAGAAAAAGGGAAATTAATTCTACTAGGAATGGCTCACACTGAATTGTGACAGGCAGAGGACATTCCTGACAGAGGGAAGATGAATACACTTGACTCCCACATCTCTGTCCATCCCTGATGACCAAGACCTCTTCCCAGACCCACAGCTGCAGGGGCCAAGTAATAACAGCTCTTACTAGTTTGTAAGGCACTGTTCTAACGCTTTACAACAAAACTCATCTGATCCTTTCATTATCCCTAGGGAGTAGAAAGTTATCCCAATTCTATACATGGCAAAATGGAGACCCAGAGTCACTTGCCCAAGGGTCACACAGCTAGTGGTGGAGCTGGGGTCTGGGTCCAGGCCATTGAGTTCCAGGTTTGTGCTCATGGCCACCACAAGGCCCTACTGCTCAGGGTGAATGCAGCTGGTCTCTGGCCAGTGCCTGGTGCTCTGGCCTCTCTCATGGAGCTACTGCCCATGATGCTTTCCTTTTGCCTGGTTAGTCTGCGAGACTTGAGTCTACCTTTGGATTGCCTTCCTTGGGGTCTGAGATGAGGCCTTATGCCCAGAGGGGAACTTAAGTTTGGGATTCATGTAGCACAGACAGAGCTAGGCTGTAAAGGTCACAGACTGGCTATATCAAGACCCATGCTGCCCAGAAAGCTGCAGTTTTAGTCCCTAATCAACTGTGTGACCAGGACTAGTCATGTTTTACTTCTCTGTGCCATCTATAAAATGGGGATAATGGCACTGACTACCAGTGTTGTGAGGCTCAAATGAGCCAAAGGTTATTGACTTGCCTTAAAAACTATAGTGCTGTATCATTTTTGTCAGCATTCCCAAGGGAGCTCGCACTATACTGACAGTGCCAAGACTACTGGTATTCCCAGCTGCCATGTGGCAGGAGCAGGAGCTACTAGAATATGCTCAGCACAGGAATGAGGCTTCCTTGGTTTCCATGTCTTTCAGAGTACTAATCACTTACCTTATTCTCTTTGAGACTTGTAGACATTTCTTTATTGATATGTCAAATTGCTTGCAGTTATCTTTCAATGACAGCAATTCTCTAATATTTGGTTTAATAAAATGTGAATAATGTCCCTTTTAACTATGGTCTTTATTAGGAGTTCATGTTGCTTCAAGTGCCTGGCGCCCAGACCTGGACAGCCCCTCACTCATATCCTATTGCTTCCACAGCCTCCTGGTGATAGTCAGCTGCTCCCTGATTGTCTCTAGGGATGGAGCATTCACGCTTCTGACAATAACTCACTAAAGTTCTCACTAATGTGTAAACAAACCCTGACTCCCAGCTGTTACCATCCAAGACAGTATTATAGCTCACTGCAACCTTGAACTCCTGGTCTCAAGCGATCCTCCCGCCCCAGCCTCTTAAGTAGTTGGGACTACAAGCCCATACCAGCATACCTGGCTCACATGTCACCTTCTAACATATTGTGTGACTGACTCACTATACTGTGGATTTTTGTGCATCTGCCCCCATCTCAATGGAAGTTCCCTGAGGAAGGAATTGGGGCTGTTAGTGGCCATATCCTCTGTGCCTAAAGCAGTGTCTGGCACACAGAAGGCCCTCCATATTTGTTCAGAGAAGGAACACATGCCATTTCCCTCTGCTCGGAGAGGAGTGCCTTCAGCATTTTTCTGCCTACAAGATCCTGTGACCAATCCTTTCTGTGATGTGGAGTGACTGCTATATGATGCTAACTAAACACAGAGGCCAAGGGTGGGAAAGGAATAAAGGTAATGGAGAAGTAAAGGGCTGTAAGCAATCAGAATGAAGGCTTACTACACTAGAGGACCTGTGCAGCCAGCTCTCGCCCCTCTCTGCAGCCAGCCAGCAACTGGAGGATACGGACTTCTTTGGAGCCACCTCCTGCTCTGGGCTGGCCAACTTGAAGCAGAGACTGCTTCACTGGATCTTTTTCTCTCTCCAGTGGGCTGACACAGGGCCTAGCCCAGAAATGTCCGCTGTCTAACGAGCGGGTAGAGGTGGATGATGGCCAGGTCCCTGGGGACCACCATTCCTGCCCCTGCCTCACTCAAGAAACACCCGACAGCAAGGGAACTGAGAATGGCACTTTATTTTAAGACTTGATTTTTTTGCCATGATTATCTACCATTTCTTCCATGATGGTGTCATCTTCTTCAATAGTGACCAGGACCTTCTTGCCCACTAGATTAAAGATGTCTTCGGGAGGATAGCCTTTGGGCTCACCTACTTTCACGGTGAGCATGTCCATTGTTAGAATGGTGCCTTCCGGAATTTTCACTTTGGCCACCACAGACTTGCCCAGCTGTGGACAAAATGAACATTCAGTGCCAGCTTCACAGAACTAACTAGTGTACACTATGTACACTCTAGGTCCCTAATCAGTACCAAGGCAGTACCTTGGGAGCAGGGACTCTTGTTGACCCCTACACTGCTCAGAATCTCATACATTCAGAGACACAGAGGAGGGGCCTTTACAGTAAAGTGCAAAGGAAAGAGCTCAGGCTATGTAGGCAGAGCCAGATTCAAATCCCAGTTAGCAGGGTATAGGCCATGTTTTAGTTTCTGTCAAACAAACTATCCTGTCAGATGACTGTAAGGATTGGTGATATTACAGAATGTACCGGGAACGCAGAATGCTCTCACTACATGCAAACTCTGATTCCTTTGGTCACCATGCAGCTCAATATCTCATGGCAAGAAAAGGAGCCCCTGAGGAAGGGGCAGATAGGAAGGGGCCCCCGAGGAAGAAGCAGATTGGACAGGCAGGTGAGGGAATGAAGGGTACCTGAAGCTCACGACCAGTGCTTGTCTTCTCCATAAATGCCTTCAAATAAATTATCTGTTCTATTACTCTATATCCTCCACATAAGAGCGCAAGGAATCAATTCTGCTTGGAATGTAGTGCCAGGAAAAAATGTCTGTCAAGTGATAATCTTGCATCCTGTTATGTCCTCAGCGAGCCAAATTAAGTGCTTAGCAGTTATAAATCTTACTCTGGTTTCTGGCCTAATTCTCTCCTGTTTTCTCCATAAAGAAACTTTCTTTTTTACTACTAATTTCCTGGTACATATGCATCTTTGATTTGGGGAAGCAGGGGGGCCCCACTAGAATAAAAGATGAGCACAGTCCCAGGCATGCCTGGTGTTGGTCTTTGCCTTGACCCTGACAGCTGTAGAGGTTAGGTGTGTGCATGCCTGCAGCCCCCAGATGCCTGCCTGGCTCTATGACTCAGAGGCAAGAAGGTCCAGGCCATGGCTTTCAGAAGCCCTGATAGTCAGCATGCCAGGCAGTGCTTCTAGGCCCACCATCCCTCTGTCTGAAGGTCAGTGCTGCACAAGGAATAGCTGCATCATCACCCACCCACCCCTGCAACGACCCGCTGCCCCTCCAGCCAGTGCCACCCTGGCTTAGGGAATGCCATAGGCTCTTCTGGTACCTCAGGGGACACCTCACCTAAATGCTTCTCAGGGCTTACCTGCTCCAAGGGAGCCCAAACTTGACTTATTCCAGGGCCTCACCCCATTACATATTCTGGAGTCTAGAAGTACTGGGCCATGGGCTTCAGAGAATTAGTGGAAGACTCTAATGTGATCCTAGCTGGTGAGAGAAACTGCTAAAGTTCCCTTTAGATAACACATTTCTCCTGCTGCTTCTACCAGCAGGAGGGACATGCATTACTGAAGAGGACCCTGAAGAAGCTGACAGGGGTAGGGGCACATTCCTTCATCATTTCATTAGCCTGGCTCAGGGAGGGCTGGTCCTGACCATCCCTCCCAGGTCAGTCTATCCTGTTTCTGCTCACAGCAGCAGAGATGAGTGGAGTCGGGCAGGACGCACCTTCTCATTGCAGGCCATCTCACAGGGCAGCAGCTGCTTGGTTGGGGAGCCTAGGGCACGTTCCACAAGGCGCACTGACCGTACCAGCTCCGCCAGTTCTCCAGGCTCCAGCGAGGCTGAATGGTCACTCCCCTTCCAGGTCTTGTCCAAAGTTATGTGACGCTCTAACACCTTGGCCCCCAAAGCCACTGCGGCCACAGATATCGCTATGCCTGTTTCATGCCCAGAATACCCTATGGGAATGTCAGGAAAGAGCTTCTGATATTCCTTTAAAATAGAAAAAGAAAAATAAGGTTAAATATCATGCTGCTTCATCATATTCTCCAGGGTCAAGCACATCTGGTTGAGCCCTGGTTTAGCCACTCATTAGCTATGCAACCAGGGGCAAGATACTAAGGCTCTGTGAGCCTCTCTTTGCAAGAGATGATAGTAGTACCTGCTGAGTGTTGCTGTAAATGCATGAAAAGCACTCAGCACACTGTAGATGCTCTAAAAACAATGGTTACTGTTCTTATAAAGAATGCATTTTAAGAATGTTTCACATTGCACAATACACCAAGAATAACAACAGAACTATAACTGAATAACCTCATTCAAAAAGCGTCTGTCACATTTAATTAGCCTGAGCTGCTGAAAGCGAATGTGCTATATGCACAAATATCACCATCAATAATATACACAGCTCAATCTCAAAACAGTCCTTTGGTAGAAATGATAATCTGCTATCTGTAATTCACTGAATGCAACAAAAGACACTCTAGACAGATGAGTCCTCTTGGTGAGGTTGACCAGAAAGCTGAGTACAGTAGAAAGACTCAGGTGGGATGTATTATTATTCTTTTGTCATTATTTCTTTTTGAAACAGGGTCTCACTCTGTCGCCAAGGCTGGAGTGCAGTGGCTCGATCACGGCTCACTGCAACCTCCATCTCCCGGGTTCAGGTGATTCTCCTACCTCAGCCTTCCAAGTAGCTGGGACTACAGGTATGCGCCACCAAGCCCAGCTAATTTTTGTATTTTTAGTAGAGACGGGGTTTTATCACGTTGGCCAAGCTGGTTTTGAACTCCTGGCCTTAGGCAAAACTCCTGCCTCAGCTTCCCAAAGTGCTGGGACTACAGGCATGAGCCACCGCGCCTGGTCTTAGGTGGGGTTTAATAAAAGATTAGGAGGGTTAGGTGACAAAAACCTTGAAAATCAGGCTTAAGGATGTGTGATGGAGTGTGGATTGCTAAGTTTGGAAATCCAAACCACTGTATTATGCATGGGCTAGGCCCAAGATGGGGTAGGCTGGCAAAATACCGCAATGCGTGGTGTCAGGAGAGAGCACATGACAGCAGCTTGAGTGGGGACGGAAAGGAAAGGGTGGCTACGATATGCTGAAAAGGAAAATATGTAGAGTCACATGTACTAAACTGTTAATTATCAAAATCTCTGTGGGATGGGAGTGCAGGTGATGTTTACTTTCGACATTGTGCGTTTCAGAGTTAAGAAAAAATGATTTCTAACTTTAAAAAATAATGATTTAGATAAGCTATAAGTGAAGCAAAAACAGGTTTGGGAGGGACAAAGTTTAGATAAAAAGAGAGCAATGTCAGTTTTCAAAAAGGCTAACTTTTAAAAGTTAAAGACTGTATAGCAACATATAAGAAAGCTTTTGGGAAAAAACAATGTCAAATACTATACTGAAAGGAAAATATAAAAGAAAAACAACTGCAATATCAGTAATGCAGCCTGTTGGCAGAGAAAAAAAACCTGCAATATCAGAATTATAAGTATGTGTGGATAGATTTCCATTAATGTTACTATAATCATTTTAATGATAATTACACATATATTATCATGAATGAAGTTAAATTTGTAGTGCTACAGGAAGAACTGATAGAGATGGTGTGAGATAATAAGAGACAAAGAACTAGGAAGACATGCCCAGGTTCTAGTTCCAGCTTTGCCACAAGCTGCTGTGGGATCCCAGGCTTCCCCACTTGGGACTGGACTTTACCATCTGTGAAATGACTAGGTAGGTAAAATCCTAGGAGAGAGTAATCTCCCCTAGGGCTGTCACTGTAAGTAGTTTGAGCCTCAGGGATGCTCAGAATTAGAAAATAAGAGCCAGCAAATAACAAAGTAGAAAAAGCCAGAAGTTTCTAGAAGGCCCCCTATAACTCAATATGAAAAAAGAGGGATATTTATCTGTACGCTAGTGTTCATAGCACCATCACTCACAATAGCCAAAAGGTAAAATCATCCCAAATGTCTGTTGA